AAAAATTTCAGAATGTTGAAAAATTAAATGAAAAAGTAATCAAATTTTCAACGAAACATGTTTAAAGAAAAGGTTGCTGTACAAATATACATTATACACACATACATCTATGTACAGGAAGTTATTTTCATATGAGATTTTATATATATATATATATATATATTTGTGTGTGTGTGTGTGTATGTATGTATGTTTACGAGACAATTTGTTTTCCTAAGATCAACAAAGACAAACAAATTGTCCGCTAAATATATGATTGATGAACATGACAAACCTTTATTTATATTTATGATTCGTAAATGTGTGTTTGTTCGTGTACATTTGAAGTAACAACTGTAAACCAAATAAACAGCACAGATGTCATCAATTCTCATATTGTCAAAACTTATAGTTTATTTTGAATTTACTCTGGATTATACTGAAAATCAAACCTGCTTTTTAATCAAATTTTCTTTTTCTTTTTTCACACACTCAACTTAAACATTTTTCTTTGAAAATGGGAAATATTTGTGAATTTCGCTTATGTGTGCATCACTCGGCTGACTACAATTAACTGAAGACCTACATACGTAAGCAAATGCTTCCATTTTAGTAATACGGCATTCGTCAAAAAATGACTCATCAGCGAATATATACAAAAATCTCATAATTTTAAGATGAAAAATAATTTTGTCACATTTAGCCTGCTACAAAGATTATATAAGACTGATTCCTGCATCACTGAATATACGTTTATATCAGTGTGAGTGAGTGCGAGTGTGTGTGTAGATTGGTGAAGGAAACCTAAAGAATGAGGTAAGAGTAATACGTCTCATCCTACAAGAAATGCAAAAGCCATTACACACAAAAAGAAACCACTGAACATCTTGTTATTTTCTTCAAATGTTTTTCTTTATGATGATATTTTTACAGAAATAAAGAAAACATTTGAATGTTCGTGTTTATGTGAGCGAGAATTTGCCCTTCGCTTAGTATGAATTTACTGACGGTGGCTAAGGAATGAGGTAAAAGCGACGCCATGTACATTTCACTATCCACTGACGAAATGACTGCACAGCGACTATTACGACTTTGTTCATAATTCTCTTTTGATAATTATATTCCATTTTTGGTTCATGTCTCTCCAAATAAATGATTAATTTAGTGTCCGTGTGATGGTAGTTAAATTTATACCTATTAGATAATAGATTTTTGTATATATCAATATCACTCTACAGCAGGCACAAAAATGAATCTGTTTGATAATAATAATGATCTTTTAAGCCTATAACACGCATATATATATATATATATATATATATATATATATATATATATATATATATATATATATATTCTTAAATAATTTACTATCAGAATCAATGCAATGTATTTTACCGCTCCTTGTGTTTTTTTTTTTTTTGTGTATGTACGTTTCTGAGGTAAATAAGTACATTTGTATTTACATATGTGAGTGAGTGTGAGATTTTATTGATTATAATTGTAATATATTTGTATAATTATGGATCTGTTTATCAAAATGGATCTAAAATACACAGAATAAGCAACTACAACGACACTACAGAGATCTTCATCAATGCAAAAGACATCACCGCATATCAATATTTCTTCATTCTGTTATATGCAAAACCATTTTATGTTTTCTACTGAATTTCCATGCATCACTTATCTGCATATTCGTATACACATTTAAAAATATATACGGATCAATGTATTTATATTTTAATGCACATGTAATAATTTTATATTAATATCAAAATATAATTCTCTTTTTCAGCGCCATACTTGTTAACAACTTGTCAACTATTGGTTTTTGTGTCAAGGAGCAGAAGATTTAACAATAAATACTTATCTTTCAGGAACACACTTTGAAAGAAGTTTCACAAAAATGATTCTAATTTAAAATATTTTCTTTTCTTTTTCAATGACAGAATATATTTCAGTAATCATACTGTTGTAGTTCTGTTTGAAATATTCGAAATCTGTTTTTATGTAAATATGTTGGTATAATTGGTTGTCTTTCAAAGAAATAAGTGAAAAATATTAATGTATTTGGTGCAATACTCATATTTAAGAATAAGAGAATCAGCCAAAATAAAAACATTAATAATAATTCCTGTTTAATAGTTAAGATGGCAGGATTTACTGCGAAGATAATGGAATTCAAAGACACCGCCAAACCAGATACTAATAGGAATTATTCCATAATCTTCAACTTTAATTTTTCTTTTGTAAATTTCTTTCCGTGGATATTAAAATTGTATTCAATTATTTTTATATTTATCTCATTTAGAATCGAACAAATTTTAAATGATTAAAATGGATAAGCATGTATATTTTAAAAGATTGAAGGAAAAAAGAAAGAGGAAAGATGAAAAAGAGAAACTGATAAAAAGAGAATGTGTTAATAGAAAATCATTTTTTGTATTAGACGACTCTACAGATGGCGTTCGAGATTTGACTATCATAAGCATTTTTGAGTTTTTATAAAAGCATATTTACATATGTCTTAGGCAAAATATAAAATTATACATTATTTGCAAGTCGTAGTATTTGGGATTATGAAAATTGATAGAAGGAACAAAGTTTGTAGTGCGACAGGCAGAGAGAAATGAGAAAAAGTGAATGAATGAATGAGTGAGGGAGTTTGTATTCGTACGAACCGTATAAAGATAACCAAAATGGAGACGACTACATAACAGTTATATTTCCGTCATCGAAAATTCGACATTTTCTATTCGGCTAAAGAAAAACAATCATTTTATTGTATTTTATTGAAAATAAATAGAATGTTCTCATATTAATAAATGAAGTGTAAATAAACTTGGAAAGATGTCAGTGGTTCTGCCTTACACCATTATAGAAAATTTACAAAAATTTACAACTGGCTAATATTTAAGATTTCTTTAAAAGGTTACATTGATAATCATTTTTATGTTGTTTAATTGAAAATCGCAAATGAATAAATACGTACGCACGTCTATACGTGTATGATTGTTTAAAATTTGCATGAATTTAAGAATGAATGGTTACATGTGTTTATATTCGTACCCGTGTAAATGTATGTGTTTATGTGCTTGAACATACGTGTAAAAGAGATACGTAATATATATATATATATATATATATATATATATATATATATATATATATATATACATATGCATGTGTATGTGTGTGTGTCTGTGTGTGTGATAGAGAGAGATCCCTTGGGTGTGTGTATGAGGAAGAAAGAGAAACGAATGCATATACATCAATGAGTGAACGTGAGAGGAAGACAGGTAGAAAGAGTGTGGGAGGGAGCTGTATCCCATGGAGGTGTGTGCATATGACGAAAGTGAATGAAAGCTGGGCAAGGTCAGTATAAAATCGGGTAGTGTAATGGCGTTCGTTGACATCCACCAGTCTTTACTTCAATTGACAATGTGTCAAATGATTTTATGTTAGAAATCTATGAAAATAAGTTAATCATTTGCCATTTTAAATACTAATAAACATTTGAATTCATCAAGTTGTAAGGATACAAGCAATTTCTCAAATATCGAAATGTGATTGAATGCATACTTGATATTTTCTTTTTAATTTGTGAACAGATGATTGACATCTACAAAATAGGGTAAGAGCAAATTCATACACGTCAAATAAATCGACTTGATTCTCATAATCACTTATATATGCACTGGTTTGAGTGAACAGCATTTAACTACCTCACTGATGTCGTTTGAGTCTAATTAATTTCTGATTATAACAAACAGATTCAGGGATTATTTCTTTTTTAGTCTTAATGTAAGAAGACGAATTTATGTAAAGTCGGAAATGAAGAAAGCTGATGGACGTTTCAAAGCAAACTACACATTTTTTCAGAATCAAAATGCTTATCTCTTCAATGACAAGCGTCACTCTACAAGAAATGCTTATCTCTTCAATGACAAGCGTCACTCTACAAGAAATGCTTATCTCTTCAATGACAAGCGTCACTCTACAAGAAATACAAAGAATTATTTCTTATATGTAATTCAGTCCATCTTCGCCATTTTTGCATTTCCAAATTTTTATTTTCAGCGGGTTTCACATGAAAACTTCCTGTATATACATCTGTAATTATCTAAGTACACGCAAATATAATATATATATATATATATATATATATATATATATATATATATATAGAGAGAGAGAGAGAGAGAGAGAGAGAGAGAGAGAGAGATGGTTGGTTATGTATTATCGTACGTATATTGATATCAATATCCTTAGTTTGCGTGTGTGTGTGTGTGTCTGAGTTTAAATAGCTGAATAATTTTGACGAGGATATTTTGATGAAATAGGAAAGATCTGTCAAGGCCAGATACTCATACATTTCATTTAATATCTAGCCACTGATATTTATGACAACGATTTAAAATGTTCTTAACTGAATGAAATATGGCATCTAGTAAAAATATACGTATGTATGTCTGATCGTTACTTCAGATTGATATTAGAATGAACATAGCAGAAACCTGAAAGAAGCCTAGCATAAAGAAATACCATTTCTGCCAAATGACTCCCAACAGTTTCAATGTGTGTAGGTATAGGACAAAAAATAGGTAGACACCTATGTGTGTGTGTGTGTGTGTGTGTGTGTGTGTGTGTGTGTGTGTGTGTGTGTGTGTACGCACGCACGCGTTCGGAATCAGGTCATAATTGAAGTTGTTACATACCTCAGTATTACAGTAGTCTGTGAAAACACCAGGGTACCATGGCTGTACGAAGAAATAAAACTCCGTAAATCACACTCTACTGAACTCGACCCAGCTCCGGACGCTCCTTTGAAAAAAATAACGGATAAGGGCGAGCTTTGTTTTCTTAATCCATCTCTATCGAAAAAATAAATACGAACCCACAATCGTCGAAATGATTGCACATTACACAGTGTCTTCTATGTTCAGAAGCTTTACCTATTGTTCTTAATGCTATACTGTTTATATTAACATACGAAATGAGCAAATGACATCATCGCCATGACTACGCATCACTCTCCTTCATACTCCTTACTCTCCTTTGCCTGTTTAGCCTTGCTCTCCTTTCACTCACGATTATCATCCGTCGCCTCACTCTTCCCTTCCCCCAAAACCTCAGCTTCCACATCTTTCTTCTTTCTAACTCCCTCTCTCTTTGTCATAGTGTCTTTCTATTAAGTACTAAATAGTAGTAGCAGCCTGATGCTGGATGCAGCTCTCTTGGTTCGCTATGAGGTGAACAACTAGGAGATGCTTTAGACATGGTGGGAGGAGAGAATCGAATATTTAACCAATCAGTGGGAACTTTTTGTCTTTTTCACTTTACTCTCAATGATCTAGTTCTTTTTCCTCCTCTTTATTTTTCATACATTAACTCGCTTCCCATTCACATTCTTGTCATTATTTTTTTCTTTCTCCTTTTTATTTTTGTTTCATTTCACACTTTAACTTCATTCTTTCCTTTACTCTCTTCTATAAATTTATTACTTTCACTTTCTCTTTGCTCTAATGACTCACAATAACCATTTCATTCTCTCTACATTTCCATTATTAATTCTCCAAATCTCCCTTTGTCAACATGTCTTACTCTCATTTCTTTCTCTATACATTCAATAATCAATCTTTCTTCACTTATTCCAATTCTTATTCTCTTATTCCAATCATTCTCATTTCGTATTCCAAAAAAAAAAAAAATATTTGAATGTTAAAACGATACGACATGAACATTGTTTTAACATTCAAATATTTTTGTATTTTTCTTTTTTTTTCTCACTTTTTATTACTTTATTGCATTTTCCCCCATTTCATATGTCCTCTTTTTTTTCTTTTCATGAATCTCTGTATTCTCCCGCTTTTTGTACTGATCTGTTCTTCTCTTCTTTTCAAACTGTTCTCTCGCTTATTTTCCTCTCTTACGCTCTATTTACCTTCATTTTTATTTTCTTCTCTCTCTCTCTTTTACCTCTTTCTCACTTTCTCTCACTCTCTCATATAAACTTAATTTGTCTTAAATTTTAGGTTTTTATTGTCTTCTTTTTTTTTGATTGATGATTTCCTTAAGTTTCGTTCTCTTTCTTTATTTTCAATGTTTTCTCTCTTTTCATTCGGATTTCTTTTCTATCTTCCTCTCTCCCTCTACTCATTTACTTTCGTATTTTATTTTTCTCTTTTTGCCTACTATAACTTTTCTCTCTTCTCTTTGCCTTTTCTCGCTCACTTTTATTCTATCTTTTCACTCAACTGATTTCTTATTCTATTTCTCTCTTCTTGCTCCAATAATTTCCGATTGCTTCTCACATTCTAAAATCTATCGTTTAAAACTCTCTCTTTTTGTCTGTTGTACTGTACTCTTCCTCCTTCTCTCAGCAAAGTGTTTTCTTTCATAATCTTATGCTTTATAGTAATCTACTTTTTTTAAATATTTACAATTATTTGTTTATTTTTCTTCGTATAAATTCCTTAACTATTTTTGCTTGTCTGTTTTTCTCTCTTTACTTATCATTAAATTTTTCTTCTATTTTTTTTCTTTCGCTTAATATTCAAATCGTATGGTTGGTCGTTAACATAATCTTTTTAAATTCATTTTCATCAATTTCTTTCTTTAATTTTTATTTATCTTGTTTTCCACCAACTTAATTTTCTTTCTTTATTCCATTCTAATATTTTCCAAGCTGGATCAGTGGAAAATTTATTTATTACCTCACGTTTCTATTCAATATTTGTCTGTATCTTCCTATTCTTTCCCTTATCCTTTTCAGCTCTCAGTTCATATTTTATATCTCAAATTTTTACAAATATGGATTAGTTTCATATATTTTGATTGGTTGATCTGTTTTTTACAGTTCATTAAACTTTTGCAGGTTATTTAATGCCAGAAAATATATTTAGATTGTAAGAATTTTGAGAGATAATAAGGATTTATCGAAACAAATTCTGTTAATTATAACCGGAGTGGGGAAGCGGTGGATTCATGCCTTTCCAAAGCGTATCTGCGTGAAATTGAATATAATGAAACCGACTGGAATTGAAACTCGGTTTTCCAATTTCCAATTCCGATCAGTTATCCATTACAACGCTTGCACATCGAAGCTTACAGTACCTGGTATTCCCAAGCGGTTACCCATCTAGATACTGTGCAGACTCGAAGTTGCTTAACTTTGGTGATCATACGAGAACCGTTTAATATGTGATAAAGCAATAAAGAATGCATAAATGTTTATTTCATCCTCTCCTTAATTTTTCTATCTCTTCATAATGAGTTTTTTTAATGTATCGATGTTCTATTTATATTTTTCTTATCCTTCGTACTTACCAATCTTTCTCACATTGTTTCTTCATCTCTGGACTTTCTTTCGTCTTCATTACGTTTTTATTTTTATTTTCACTTACATTACATTTTGTTTTTTTCTCGCTCTTACTTTTCTTTTTTTTCTTCTTCCCTGGTTTTCTCTTTCCTTCACACTTAATATGTTATGTAAATTTCTCGGTCCGAAAATATCCGTAAATTCAGAAGATACCACACTGTGATCCTAACTAAGAAATAGTAACAGTCGTACAAACAAGCAGGATAATAGTATGCATTAATTCTGTTAATATGTTTGTTGCTATTTCCTCTGTTTGTCGTGTATTTCCTCTTTCTTTATATTAAATCTCTTATTAATCTGTCCATTCATTTCTTTCTTTCTGTTCCTTATTTATTTGTCAATAAAGTTTTTTTTATTTCCGACTCATGCATTTTAGGCTGAGTTCATGTCAGTAAATAGTAATTTCTTTATCAAAATTTATTGACCAATTCTCACTTTTTCGTCTTTTCCTTTTTTTTCTCGTCCTTTTCCTCTTTCTTCATCCTTTCCCTCACTTTTTCATCTTTTTTCTCTCTTTTTCGTCTTTTTCCTATCATTTTCGTCCTTTTCTTCACTTTTTTGCCCTTTTTCTCGCTTTTTCGTCCTTTTCTTCCCTTTTTCGTCCTTTGCCTCTCTTTTCCGTTTTCTTTATCACTTTTTCATCTTTTTCCTCTCTTTTCCGTACTTTTCCTCACTTTTTCATTCTTTTCCTCACTTTTTAGTCATTTTCCACTTTTTTCGTCCCTATCTTTACTTTTTTCCTCTTTTCCTCTCGTCCCGTTCTTTTCTTCATTTTTTTGTCCTTTTCCTCTTTTTTGTTCTTTTCTTTACTTATTCGTCTTTTTCTCTTTCTGTCATTTCCTCTCTTTTTCGTCCTTTTCTTTACTTTTCCTTCTTTTTCCTCTCTTTTTTGTCCTTTTCGTTTCCGTCCTTTTCTTCACTTTTTCGTTCTTTTCCTCTTTTTCATCCTTTTCCACACTTTTTCTTCCTTTTCCTCCATTTTTCGTCATGTGCCTCACTTTTTCATCCTTTACCTCATTTCTTCTTCGTTTTCTTCACTTTTTCGCGCTTTTCTTCTCTTTTAGTCCTTTTCTTCATTTCGTCGTCTTTTCACTCACTTTCTCGTCCTTTTTTCTCTTTTCCCTCCTTTTCCTCAATTTTCCCTCCTTTTCCTCACTTTTTCTTACATTTCTTCTTTTTTCGTCCTTTTCCTCACCTTTTTGTCCTTTTCCTCTTTTTCTTCCTTTTCACTTTTTCATTCTTTTCTATTTTTCGTCCTTTTCCACGTTTTTCTTCACTTTTTCGTCCTTAACAACTTTCCTTTTTCCATTGTTTTCATTTACTTAGTTTTCATTCCATTTTCTTTTACGACTTCTCCTTTTTCATTTTATATAAGCACGTGAAAAGCAGTTAGCCACCTTTTGGAAGAGTCTTTATACAACAGTCTCACCAATTCAAACGTATTTAATTATGGATATTAAATGGATTGACTATGAGTAGAATTTAATGTTCTTACTCTTTGTGTATTTAATAAATTTGTTATTATCTCTTACAGCATACGAAACTCTTTTGTATTATTCAGATATTATCAGATATTATTCAGATAATATCCTTATTTCAACATACGAAATGGTTCAGGCATGTCCAAAATTAGAGACTTTGACCATAAAATTCACTGAATAATTTTGTCCGTTCTGTTCTAGAATTTTTTAATGCTGTATAGCATTGAATTCAATTCTTCTCTGAAACAGTATTTGGGTTGGTGAGGACCAATTCCCAAGATTATAATTTTTAATTTTTCAGTTATGTATCCTTCAACCATCGTCAGCTTTTCTATTGTGTTCTAGTTTATTACGAAGAATATAGCCAGCGAATACCGGAAAGTGCCCTTATACTATTGACTATAAAGATTCTCGTGGCAAATGCTCAAACTAAATATGCCTCTCGAACATCTCAGTTAGCTCCTCCATTTTGTGTTAATTCAGACTGGATTAGGTGGAATTCTTCAAGCTGTTTTACCCATTTCTCTACTGAGTGGTTTAAGAAGTTGCTCTACCATAATAAATCTTATAATGAAGATAATGTAGAATTATTCCAATTTCTTTTTACATGAATATCTTTATCTGATGGCTCATATTAAGGTCATCAAAACGAAAAGGTTTTCCTATCGTAATTACCCAGTTGCACAAATTGGTGGTGCAGTGTTAAATTTGGAATCCCAAATTTTGATTAGATTTGACACTAACTCTTTCCACTTTCGAATTGACCAAGCCTACTTTAGAAACTGCATAGTTTAAAATCTGAATATTACATGAATGTGATCATACACACACACACACACACACACACACACACACACATACACACACACTTTCCTTCAGATTTACAATTTATCTTTCTCCATATATCAGTTTGTACTATTTATTCTTTTTTTTTTTTTTATTTTGTCAATGATCAAGAGAAATATATATATATATATATATATATATATATATATATATATATATATATATATATATATATATATATACATACATACACTATTGACATTGTTCGGACTGTTGTTCTCAAATTTATTGTCATATTCACGGTGTTTAGGCCCTTGTACGCTCCGGCCTTCTTCTATCCTTCTATGTCGTTATTAATTTTAATCAACCACCTTTCAAATATATTCCGGTATCTATCCTGATGATACTACTATTTATTCCGGTCTTAATAGTAAATCTGATCGGTTCGATAGGGTCAAATTTGCAACCGATTTCAAAAAATGACCAACAATATGTTGTTAACTAGTGAATAGTTTCTTAATTTTAATGCCTCCAAACGCTAAACTCCATGAGATCGGTTTATTGCGTCTTGTTGGGCTAACGTTTTCCCCATGACATGATTGCCAACGTCTTGAAGGGACACGATACATAGGTGAAGATGCCTGAAAGGATCTAAGGGAGAATTGACCACAGAATCTTAATGGATATAAGAAAAATTGCCGGAAAAACAATTTAAATTCTCAGTTACTTTCAATAAACGAAATCAGCTGGGTGATAGGCTGATTTCTATGGTAGGGTTTAAACCAATCAATGGATAATTTAATGAGATGTATTAAACTGATGAAAAACTAAATCCACGACCTCACCCGAATGAGCACTGTAGCCCACAGGAATCAATTTTTCGGCCATACCAAAGATCTGATTGTAAAAGGTGTTTCTTTTCCCATCGCACGTAATGAATGTAAGCATGTCCTTGAAAAGGAAAAGTCACTATTCACTGATAGAATAAGACAACGTAGAACTCTTACAAGTTTGATTCTAGAGATTACTGACGGTTCTGCAAGAGCCACCATTAATCAAGAGCAGGTGCCTCTTCTCTTCAATGAGTTTGGTGTGCTGTCATCTTCAGATAAAGCAAAGTTCTTTTCTCGGAAATTTTCTTCCAACTCCACTCTCAACTCATTCAGAGTATATCTGCCTGGTTCCCCACTAGAACAATGTTTGCTATGCACATAATTCCGCCCTTGGCTTCTGCTATCATTTCTAAACTCGATCCCCACATGTCTTGCAGATTCTACTGTATCCTGGCAATTTTCCTAAAGAAATGTGCTCCTGAACTGACTCCAGTTCTCTACACACTTAGCAATAAATACCTCGCTACTTCTTGCTTTCCAGCTTGTCTACCTTTGTAGTCTCAGTTTAAGAACTCTGGGTTGGCATCTGTCTATATCGAAATATCTGATTCCTATTAGTCTCTTACATATTTTTGGAAAATTACTAGAGGCTCTAATCAACGCCAAATTGGTTAAGCATCTTGCTTCATATGGCCTCCTTTCGGATACACAAACTTTTGTTTCTCCAGGTCTATCGGCGATGTGTTAACAGCCGACACTGAATTTATCTGTCAAACTTTAGATAAGTGCGGCGAAGCCCAAATTGTGGTCATCTCAAAGGCGTTTGACAGCGTTTCTGGCCGTCTCCACAAGCTGAAGTGTTACAGTGTCTGTGGATGAATATTTGGCGTAATCCAATCATTCCTAACAAATCATGTAATGAAGGTCGTGTTGAATGGACATGTTTCTCGTTTATATATTCCTAGGTCTGTTTCAGATCTTCATCAATGACCTTCCCAATGTCATCAGTTCCAAACTTGCTATCTATTCAGATGACACGGCTATTTATATTAGTCTTAGTGGCAGTTCCAACAAAGTAAAACTGGCAACTGTTCCCAAGAAGGACCTGCAACCAGTGTTTAACTGGGGTATCGAAATAGCTTGTAAATGTAAGGCTTCTAAAACTTTCATTTAATCACCACAGATGAACTTTTCTGCCACCTAACCTCCAGGAGAACGACACTTTGCGCCTTCTTCGGCTCACCTTATCCACTGACATGAAGTGGAATGATTATATTGAATTAATTGCTGTGTCTACTTGTTAGGAAAGTTGGTTCACTGTGTCATACCAGACAATTCTTCTCGACATTTGTTACTTTCTCATTAACGTAACATCGCTTCCCGCTGTCTTTTCCACAAATATTTTCATGACAAATTTCTGATGAGCTTCCATTCTTGGTACTTCGACTGCGTGAATAAAAGTGTGCTACTGAATTGGCAATTATGTCTCACCGTTTTACTTGCTATATGTAATCGCCATCTTTATTCTAATAGCATTTCTCGCACTTCTCACCTGTGGGACTCTCTTCCGATTTCTTTCTTCAAAACAACATACAATCTTCAAAAATTTAAATGCAACGTAAAACGGTATATTCTGTCTCCCTTGAAAGCTGTTTTTATATTGTCCTTTTCCTCACTTCTTCCCACTAAAATCCTCCCATACTCTTCACTCCCT